TATTACCTAACTACTATAACTACCACTACAACCACTACCACAAACACCATACCAACTACTATAACCTACCCACTACCACAACCACCATTACCTATACTCAAAACCCACCACTACAACCCACTACCACAACCACTTATACCTAACTACTATAACTACCACTACAACTACTATTACCTAACTACTATAATCACCACTATAACACTACCCACAAACCACTATTACCTAACTACTATAAATCTACCACTACCACAACCACTATTACCTAACTAATATAACTACCACTACAACCACTATTACCTAACTACTGCAACTACCACTACAACCACTACCACAACCACTATTACCTAACTAATATAACTACCACTACAACTACTATTACCTAACTACTATAACTACCACTATAACCACTACCACAACCACTATTACCTAACTACTATAACTACCACTACCACCACTACCACAACCACCATTACCTAACTACTACAACTACCACTACAACCACAACCACCATTACCTAACTACTACAACTACCACTACAACCACTACCACAACCACCTCTACCTAACTACTATAACTACCACTACAACCAATACCAGAACCACCATTACCTAACTACTATAACTACCACTACAACTACTATTACCTAACTACTACAACTACCACTACAATCACTACCACAGCCACCATTACCTAACTACTATAACTACCACTACAACCACGACCACAACCACCATCACCTAACTACTATAACTACCACTACAACCATTACCACCATTACCTAACTACTATAACTACCACTACAACCACTACCACAACCACTTACCTAACTACTATAACTACCACTACAACCACTACCACAAGCACTATTACCTAACTACTATAACTACCACGACAACCACTATTACCTAACTACTATAACTACCACTACAACCACTATTACCTAACTACCACTACAACCACTACCACAACCACCATTACCTAACTACTACAACTACCACTACAACCACTACCACAACCACCATTACCTAACTACTATAACTACCACTACAACCACTACCACCTTTACCTAACTACTATAACTACCACTACAACCACAACCACCATTACCTAACTACTATAACTACCACTACAACCACTACCACAACCACCACTTACCTAACTACTAAAACTACCACTACAACCACTACCACAACCACTATTACCTAACTACTATAACTACCACTACAACTACTATTACCTAACTACTATAACTACCACTATAACCACTACCACAACCACTATTACCTAACTACTATAACTACCACTACAACCACTACCACAACCACTATTACCTAACTACTATAACTACCACTACAACTACTATTACCTAACTACTATAACTACCACTATAACCACTACCACAACCACTATTACCTAACTACTATAACTACCACTACAACCACTACCACAACCACTATTACCTAACTACTATAACTACCACTACAACCACTATTAGCTAACTACCACTACAACCACTACCACAACCACGATTACCTAACTACTATAACTACCACTACAACCACAACCACGATTACCTAACTACTATAACTACCACTACAACCACTACCACCTTTACCTAACTACTATAACTACCACTACAACCACTACCACAACCACCATTACCTAACTACTATAACTACCACTACAACCACTATTACCTAACTACTGCAACTACCACTACAACCACTACCACAACCACTATTACCTAACTAATAATACTACCACTACAACTACTATTACCTAACTACTATAACTACCACTATAACCACTACCACAACCACTATTACCTAACTACTATAACTACCACTACAACCACTACCACAACCACCATTACCTATGAAGTATCGGAATGACGGCAGGAAACCTCTTGACGGGTAGCACACTTTTTATTAAACCTTGACTTGTCACGATACAACGTGTGGTCACTATTCCTCACACTACACACACTTCACTTGACACGTGTGGTCACTACCTTTCCCACTACACACTCCACTTGACACGTGTAGTTACTATGGCTCACGCTGCATGCTCACACTGCATGCTCACACTGCACTCCAGCCCCGTAACGTCCGTGGAGCCTACTGGCCCACCCCAGCTTGGGCGTGGGTCACAACCTCTGGGTCCCGAGGGCCGGCCCTCACACGGACGTTCGGCCCCGGGTCCCAGGGTCAAGCCTCTGGGTCACACAGAGCCCCGGCCCTTACAAGGACAGCGGGACTAGGTGCCGCAGGGCCCTATCTCTTCCTCCTCCGTCTTCAGTCTTCGCTGGTCACCAATTCCCCGAGCGCCCGCGCGCACCGCCTTATATAGCCCTCCGCTCCCGAGGAGACGGAGTCCATGCGGACCGCGATGTGAGCACCCACTAGTCGACCAATCACGGCGCGCTGTTCCTACGATCCGTTTTCCCAGCGCGTGTTACCACTACACAACCAATCGCCCCGTGCTGCCACACGATCACTCCCTGTCAGCGTGCGTCACCAACACACAGCCAATCACCACCACATAACCCATGACCCCGCGCTGCCCTGTGATCCCTCACCGTCAGCGCGCGTCACCGGCACACAGCCAATCACCACGCGCTGCCCCACGATCCCCACTGTCAGCGCGTATCACCACTACATCACCCCCACCCACATAGCTCGCAGCCGGCCCGGCTGCTAAACAACACAACAACAACAATAGTAACACAACAAAAACCCAACCCCCCAGTGTGCCCCGTAACACAACAACAACAACACAACGACATAACACCAGACAACAACGTATGTACAAACCGACAAACAACACAATAAAAAACCAACAACAACACACAACACCTAGACAACAAGTTATGTACAAACCGACGAACAACACAAAAAAGCAAGTCCGAGAAAAAGAACGTGTCCAGTGTCTCTGTGACTATCGATCCCCCCCCCCCCCCGCTCCGCTCGCTCCTCCACCGGGGTGATGGAGCGGTCGAGCGGAAGAGGAACGCAGTGACGAGGCGCTCCGGCCGCATCGGCCCCTCATTCGGTTGGTCAAGAAAAGTTGCGCGACTGAGCGCGAGTCCGCCTGGCCGGTCCATCGTATGGGACGGGACGCTGACGACCGTCTGGTGGCTCCGGCAGCCCCGGAAGGCGCGTATCGGGCCTGGAAGGACCGGCCGCGCCGCGGGGATCCGGCCGCCGGTGGTCGGCAGCTGTCAGTTCCGAGACACCTGGGAGCGGATCAGGCGGAGACCTGTGAGGATCAGGCGGAGACATTTCCCCCCTTGGGTCGTCGGTCACGTCACATGCTCGGCCCTCACGACACAAAGGGAGGCCATATGGAGGCGAGAACGGTTTCAGTCGGGAGGGGTGGACGTACCAACGGCGCTTTCCCCATTTTATCTGAACACACTGGGGGCGTGCAACCCGCACGACCTCCACGGGTCCCCGCCATGGCTTCAACAATTTAGGCGACGTAGCCAAAGGTGCCTGAGGGCAGTGCAGCCAGGCCCTATCGCCTGGTTTCCAGTTGTGCACGGACACCTTCCGTGCACGCAAACGCTCGATGGCAATTTGGCGAGCCCGCGAAGTAAGCCGTGCGGCTTCCCGTGCCTCGGTCAGCTTATGAATGTTAAATTTAATATGTTCAGCCAATTTCGAATTCGTTCGTGGCGCGGACAGTCCCAGCTGCGTTTCCATGGTCGGGTCGGCTTCCCGACCATACATTAGATAGAATGGGGAAAATCCCGTTGCTGCATGGGGGGCCATTCTATACGCGGCGAGGACCCCCGGGACCTGCAGGTCCCAGTCAACATGTGCCTCACACACCTGCTGGCACAGCATAGACGTAAAAGTCCTGTGGAGTCGCTCCACCATCCCGTCTGTCTGTGGGTGGTACGGGGAGGTACGCACCTTCTTAGTACCCAATAGGTCGCACACCTCTTGCAGCAATTTACTTGAAAAAATTTTCCCTTGGTCGGTCAGCAAGCATTCGGGAGCCCCCTTATCCAGCACGTAGCCCTGGACAAAGGCGTCCGTCACAGCCGCCGCCGACTGGTTGGCGAGTGGCCACGCCATAGGCCACCGGGTAAAGTATTCGACACCAACCAACAGGTACTTATTTCCCCTAGGCGTGACTGGAAAAGGCCCCAAAATATCGAGCGCAACGAGCTCGTTAGTGCGCGAGACCTGAATAGATTGCAGCGGTGGATTTGACGCCACGGGCGGCGGTTTTCGTCTGGCGCACTCAACACACCCCTTTAGAATATTCACCACATCACTCCCCATCTCCGGCCAATAATAGTCACGCTGAAGCAGAGCAAGCGTTTTGTTTACTCCCAAATGCAAGAGGCGTTCATGTGCAGCCAGGCCAACTTTCCCCCGCACAGCGGAAGGCACCACGAGTGCGTGCCGCCGGGACAAATTGTCCCATCTCATCAACAGGCCCTGCTTGAGTACCCAGGAGCCAGTTCGCTCCCGGCCCTCCTCGGGACCCCCCGCCCTGCGACGCAACGCTAGCAGGGAGCTGTCAGCCATTTGGAGACGGCCCCACTCAATCAGCGACAGTGAGAGCAGCGAGTCCTCTCCCTCAGGGGTAGCGGGAACATCACCGATCGGTGCATCCGCGGTCGCGGCCAACGCCCCCCTACTTTCCGCAGCTGGCGGTTTACAGTGCGCCGATCCCATTAAGCACGCACATTTGTGACAAGGCGACAATCGCGACAGGGCATCGGCGTTAGTGTGGCGCAACCCCTTACGGTATGTGGTCGTGAACTGATAGTCCTGGAGGACTTCCAACCACCGTGACAATTGGCCCGAGGGTTGGGCGACCCTCAATGAATACTGAAGCGCCGCGTGGTCCGTCCGGACCGTAAAGTGACGGCCATAGAGATACGGTCTAAATTGCTGTACAAAAAAAACAATAGCCAGCAACTCGCGACGGGTGACGCAGTAGCGCTGCTCCGCCGGCGACAAAACCCTGCTACCATAGGCGACCACCCTTTCGACTCCCCCAACGACCTGTGAGAGCACCCCCCCAATGCCCGTGTTGCTAGCATCCGTGTCTAGCAAGAAGGGACTTGTAAAGTCAGGATAACGCAAGGGCGGGGCACCCACCAAGGCGTCCCGGAGGGAGCAGAATGCGGCCTCCTCCTCCGGTCCCCATCGGGACTTGACTCCTTTTGCCGTTAGAGCGTGCAAGGGTTTTGCAATGGTGGTGAAGTGCTCAACGAATCGGCGGTAGTAAGAAGGAAAACCGATGAAACTGCGCACGTCCGAAACTGATGTGGGCGTTGGCCATGAACTGACACAGTTTGTCTTCGCGGGATCGGTAGAGATCCCCGAAGAATCGACAATGTGGCCCAAGTATCTCACGGACTTACGAAGAAGGTGGCATTTGGCCGGTTTAAACTTTAATTTAGCCGATCGCATCTGCAAGAATACCCCTCTCAACCGCTGGAGGTGTTCCTCAAAGTTTTACTGAAAACAATGACATCGTCTAGGTAAATCAAGCAAGTATCCCATTGCAAGCCCGACAAAACCAACTCCATAAGGCGCTGAAGCGTCGCGGGAGCGGAGTGAAGTCCCATGGGTAACCGGTTAAACTGGAACAGGCCCCCTGGAGTCCGAAATGCTGTCTTAGGTCTAGACTCGGCGTCGAGTGGCAGCTGCCAGAATCCCGATAATAAATCAAGAGTTGAAAAATATCGCGTACCCGACAATGCATCGAGGGACTCGTCCATCCTGGGGAGCGGATACGCGTCAGCCACCGATATTTTATTCAGGCGACGGAAATCTACGCAAAATCGCAAGGACCCGTCTTGCTTTTTAACCAGCACAATAGGTGCTCCCCAAGGACTGGAAGAAGGCGAAATAATGTCTGCCGCCAGCATATCGTTGACGGCCGACTGAACGTGTTCCTTCTCAACAGGACTCAGCCGGAAGGGATTTAGCCTGACCGGTGCCGCATCGCCTGTTTCAATATGGTGGCGCAACAGGTCCGTGCACCCAATGTCATATTTATGCTTACTGAACACATCAGAAAATTCCAACAGCAACGCACGCAGCGCACCCAACTGTACTGTTGACAAATCGTTCGAGTCTGCGCACAGCGAATCGACCCATTCAAGATCCTCCCTCGATGGATTGTCCTGCATCGGGTTTGGATCAACATGCGCAACCAGGCGCTCTTCCGCAGGGACCCGTGCCGCGTGAGCTAGCACAGTGCCCTGCTGAATAACGGCCGGCCGCGAACCAGCGTTTAAAACCATCACGAACGGGTCCTTGTCAGCCCGAACCAAAGTGTGAGCCACCGACAAATCGAGACCCCCGACAGCCCTATTTGAAGGACCCAAAAGCATTCCCTGTTCCGAGGTCTCCCCAACCAATGGTTTCCTCAACCGGAGGGGAATTAACATCTGTGAACCCGGGGGCACGTGCACAATCTGTGTCGCCAGCGCTTGTATCGTAGCGCACGCCGTCCGAATTTCGGTAGGATTCGTCAAAAATGAAATACGGCGACCCGATGGTAGCTCAATGCAACGCTGATCGATGAGAATTTTAATGGGCATTTTTGCCAAAAAGTCTGTGCACAACAGACAAGGAACTGCTAAGGAAGAAGAAACGAAAACGGGTCCCGACAATTTAATATCTCCAATGCAAATGGACGCCCTAATCTGGCCGACAATGCCCAACGAGCCCCCATTTGCCGCGTAAAATGGCACGTCCACCGGGAGCAGAGGTCGACATTGGACGGGGAGAATGTTGTAAATGAGGTCTGATATAATAGTCGCCGACGCCCCCGTGTCCACTAACACCCTGACCTCGACCCCGTCAATGAATCCCGTAACGACGGATG